CCATGGTGATCCTCGCACCCGGGGTGTTCCTCCCTCGACGTACGCCGCATGGCGCCCGCGGCCGCCGCCCCTCGCACGTCCTCGCGAGTCACCACCGCACTCGTACACATGAGCGCAATGCACACCCGAGTCCCACCCACCGAGATCCTGCCTCGCACCCGTCCTCGCGCCGCCGCCGTCTGAGCCGCGCACGCAATGCCGCCTGCGAATCCGCGAGTAGGCCTGTGCACGCGGCTCCGAGGTGGCGGGCACTGTCGCGGTGCATCCCGCCCGAGACAGGCGGCAGAACCTCCAAATCCGCCAATCAGGACACCGCATCATGTACCCCATGCCTGGGGCCTGTTGTAGTACTTACCCACCTTATACCATTGGCCACCCCGCACTAAGTACATCCCAAAAACAAATCCATAATGTACAGAACATTGACACACTCGCATTTGCCTCTGTCGTATTCGCACCTACTGCCAGTGTGACACACGTCAACGCGTCGACTGCGGCAAGTCGGCGACCCCTCAGTTCAGTTTGATGCGGCCGGATTTGCCGCCATCAGAACACCCAGATCGGGATGCCACGTGGAAGCGGAAATTTAACAAGTCCCGAAACCTGCCAGGAACAAACCTGTACAAACATTGCCGCATATAGACGGATCTCAGGGGCGCTGCGAGTTTGCAAGAGCGTCTCCCAATGTCGACACCGTGGCCTCCTCTGATACTCAACTTTCGTCAACTCGAGGACTACGTCTGTTCACCGACAACCTCGGCTCTGTGCCGAGCGTTGTTCAACGTCGATTTTCACTCTCCTGACACCGTAGAACAAGTCCAAGATCTAGGGCTCCAACCATTTAGTTTCCGTTTGATGATCTGGCCAAATCAAACGGAAACGGTTATCAAACAGTTTGAAAACCGTTTAAAACTGTTTAAAATGGTTATTTTTTGGTTATCTTTGTTGGGCGGAAACTGAGATGTTTTGCACAGGGCTGGCATACTAAGCTAGTAAATAGCATAACTCTAGCTATCTCAGCTTATACCTCTTGAAAACGGGGACTTTCATGGTCACTAAAAGGTGGGCGCACTGCGGGAGTGGCGCATCAGTCACGTGAGTATATGCCTAATCGGAAAGAGTATTGCTCCGGCGCACTGGTTTAGGGCCCACAGAGCACAGTAAAATTGGTTTGTGGCTTGGGGATGTTTCTGCACCTGAGTTACTTGCTACTTTCTATTGGAGGAAGCAGTCAGCTTAAATGGATGCGCTTATCAGAATTTGATCATAATTATAACCGTTTAAACCGTTTGTTTACCGTTTGTTTACCGTTTGGACCCCCGGTCAAACAAAACGGAAACGGAAACGGTTATAACCGTTTTAAACTGTTTATAAACGGAAATGGTTGGAGCCCTACCAAGATCCCACTGTGTATACTAACGATGATCGCACCCCTTGGATAACTACATTTTTCGGTCAGGTCAAGCAAGCTGTGGTAAGTCTTCCCCCCCCCCTCGACTATTTAGGCTAAGCACACCGCAGCTCTTTCAGGGAAATCACGGCCACCGCTTCAGCCTCGCGCCCTGCGCGCACGGCGGGATTTGCACGGGTGAAGCACGTTCTCTACAAAGTGGGGGAGCGCCTGCGTCGCTTCTTCAAATAGGGATGAACCGCTGGCAATGGAAATCTCATTCATGAATCGAATTACTCTATTCCTTCCCTTTTTTTGTGTCGGGTCCTACAGTACTACATAGAAGACAAAACGAGACTGATTTCACTGTGACCGTAACACGAACGGGTGGGGCGAGGTTGTAGACGGCGAACGCCGACACCTAGTGGGACACAGCGAATCATAATCAAGATATTATTCACGTACCACGGCGGTCTTGCCCGATCAACTTTATAACATCAATATCACGCTGACTCGATTCGCGCACTGGCAGCTGCAGCCTGAGGCCTGCATCTTCGTCCTGCCCTCGCTCCCGTACTCGCCGCCCGAGCACATCGCGCTCACCGCGCCGCGCACGCAGGGTCGCCCGCGAATCCGCGGGTCGATGTGCGAGCGCGGCTCCGAGCAGCCCCCACCGCTGCAGCCACCCGCGAGCCCGACACCGCTCTGTATCATAGCAAGCTTTCGTCCCCCGCTGCGCAACTTCAGCCGCAGTCCGCTCGCTCGCCTAGGACACGGTGCACTGCCTACTTACATGCAGACTGACGATGTACTCACTAAACCCAGCGCAGCCTCTACCACGTTACATCCCTCGTCTCGCAACGCAGCTCCGATGCCGCCGTGGCCCTACCAAGCGCAGCCGTCGGTGTCGAGCCCACGTCGCCCACGTCGCCTGCAGGGCCAGCGTACCGGAACCATAACACCGCCCGTGCCCGCTTCGCGCCCCACTCGGGTCCGCTCCCGCCCAAACAACGAGCCCGCGCCCAGCCCTACGTCCCCGCCGCACAACAACCGCGCACGCGCATCCGCGCTCGTTGCGCGCAGCTCCTGGACGACGCCGTCAGCTGCCCCGAGCGCAGCCCTGCGCAAACGCAGCGCCGTATCGAGCGCACGTACCGTGACGCTCGCGCATGCCCCCATCCTCGCCGACGCCCGTCAGTCCGCCGCATCCCCTCAACGAGCCGCTACTCGCCAATGCACCCGGCGGTGCAGTCTTGCACCCCCGCCGAAGCTTCTGCGCCCCGTCTCGTCTCTCGCGCCCGCAATCGGTCCGTGTGCGCGGGGAATCGCTTCGCGCGTTCGGATACGCGGGCTCCTCGTCTTTTGGGGTAGCCCGACTGCCCAAATGCTTGCGGAAACGCGGCTCAAGGCCGACTCGTTCTGTGCCGACCTCCCGCAAAACCCCCGCGCAACGGCCCACATCCAAGCTAGGTGGGTTCTCCGGAGCCGCTCCGAGCGTTGAAGTCGCGCCCCGCTCGTCGATCGCAGCGGCCGCGCTGTAAATAGCGTCAGCGCAGCATACCACCCGGCCCGATGTCCCGCGCCCGCGCCCTCTCCCAACAGCGCGGCCGCAGTGCGCACCTGCCGCCCACCGCCCCCGCAAGCCCCTCCTGACGCGCCGCCGCGGCCGCCGCCGTTCGCAACGCCATCCCGCGCCCGCCTGCTCCCACCACGTCCGACCGCCGCGCCCTGCCCGTCTCAACGCTCCCTGCCCGCGCGCCCTGCGCGCCAAGTTCCAATCTGGCCCCCAGCGCGCACGTCCGAACAGCAGCGGCGCTCCCGCGGTTCGGACTTTCTTTGGCCGCGAGCGGGCGCGCGCAGTCCGACAGCGACGCAGAGCGGACCGCGAGCTCGAATTTGTGGAGCGCCGCCAACTGCAGCTTCGCGCGAAGAACTTGAAGCGGCCGAGTTCGGTTCGCGGTGCGCGAATGGCCATGGGCGCCGTCGACTCGGAGTCCGGCCCACGCGCGCATCGGACGCTGCAGACTCCGGTTTGCCGGGAGCGAGAGTGTTGCAAGCGCGAGGGCGGGCGGGGGGACGTCTTGCGGCGGCGATGGCGAGCCCGCACGCGCTCAGAGACGCTGTAAACAGAGTCGCGAGCCGCTCGGCGAGCAGTCTGTCGTCGGCGACGGTTCCGTCATCCCGCTGCTTCGCGAGTCCAAAGATCTTGCCGCGTGCCGCGTGCGCAGAAGCACCCGTATATACACGGGGCGCTGTGCTCGCGCGGCTTGCGGTACTGAGCTTCGCACAAGTTGTGTTCAACTTGCGCATCCAACGGCTCGTGGCCTGGGTCAGTCCCGCCGCTTGTGCATTGTACACTTCACAGCCGCTTGTGTGCATGCTCGAAGATACAATTCTACTACTCATAGTCTCATATCGCGCACCAAACTTTTACTTCAATTCTAAAAGAAATACGTGAAAATCTTGATGCGCGCAGCGCACTAGATAATATTCCCAAATCTGTGAATCGTACTGTCACGGCTACCCATGTGTTCAATCTTTCTTTTGACTCTTGAGAGGCTGACTCGTTGACATTTACAACAGTGCACTTACTGTCTACCTCTCCGAAATGTACTTAAATAATTACCAAAACAACTGATTATCATACACGTGTATTGATGGCCGATCATCTCGGCAGTCCCATGTCCTTATATGGACATGGGTCTCCCCAGACATGGGCCATGAGCCAGAATATATCCACCTACTCTCACTCCTAGGCGACTCAGGTTAATTTACCCTTCCGCTGGGCGCCCCGCCTCATACTTACCCCGCCTCGTGCGAAACCACACACAATTATCATCCACGTATCGATCCAGTGCGAACGAAGCACCTCAGGAGCTCCACAAAGGACACGGGGTCGGATCGCAGGCCCGGGAACGAGCAGAGAGAGCTGCGTACCCAGCCCAGAGTGGAAGTCGGAAGGTGGTTCGAAATTGGAACCATCGAGTCAAGGTTGAAGCTTGTGACTCTATATTCCGCGGCGGCATTGGCATTATGCTCCGAGCGTCGCTGACATCGCTCACGCAGGGCGTATCCATACTAGTCCTTGTGCCTTTGTTCGATTCCATCTCCGAGGCGGATGAAACTGGCCGTGGTTGCAAAATAAGGGCTCCTCGCCTCGATCTTTGTGCGCCACCACTGAGCTAGCACCGATTCCATCACATAATTGTAAGGTACAAAAAGCTCTCGGATTAAGACCTCGCTGCGAATGAAGAACACTGCGTCTTCTGGGTATATACTAATAGGTATCGAACAACCTCGCATGCAAAAATGAGTCTCGCAGTGACTTTTGCCTGAAACTGATATCCCATAGCCAAACATCGACATGCCAGCCAGGCATAAACGATAGAGGAGGTACGGACAGAGGGTGACTTAGCGCAGGACGAAGCCAAAACTATAGAGCAGATCAACAATGGATATCTACATCTGTTCTATGTAATATTTACTAATCTACTAATAACAAATAACTGATAAGGATGGTCTGGTGGCACGAATGATATATAGCTGAGAGGAAAGAAACAACAGGCTACTTATGTCTAGCTAGGTTCGGCCAAAGGGATATCTAACAAAATGACCACCGCAGGGGTCGAACCTGCAATCTCCTGATTACGCAGAGTGGGCCTGGGATTATCGTAGTCAGACGCGATGCCATTTCGCCAGGCGGCCATTGTGTAACGTGGCAGTCTTGGAGCTATATACCGAGATGGTAAGCAGCGAACCTTGTTCTTATTGTGGTGATTCGCGGGGACAGTCAGGGTGCTTTCCTACGCTCACGTGTCACGTAACCGCGCGAACAGTCCCTGGTTGGGTCCCACAACCAATGTATGCACTCAGATGGACATTGTAGGTCCAAATCGGAAATCCTCGGTCGGCACTTCAATACCCCCGTCTGTACGGTGTTTTCCAGCTGGCCGGTCCACGGTAAGTCCCGCTCTCGGAAAATTCCGATTCAACTGGGATAAGAATCATAAGATACCGACAAGATATAACGATAACTCAACTTGAACTGTTCCGAGACAAAACGGAAGCAAAATAATTACACACGCTGTTCCTGAGTTTGGCACATTGACTGCCCGACGGTGACGAGGTACTGTGGGTCCATCGCGGGTCAAAAGGCGAGGGGGGGCCGGACGCAAGCCTGAACTTTACCGTTGAGTTCAACACAGGTTCAGCACCATGTTTAAGTTCCTGATTGCCGTTTGAACTTCGTTGAGCCCGAGAAGGGCGAGGAAGCCCGCAGGACGGAGCTTGACACCAAGAATCAGCGCGGCCTGAGTTCAGCGCTGTTGCACCGGCGATCTTGCAAAAGCCCAAGGCGACCAGCGGCAAGCTTCGTAAAGACCGAAGACAAGGCATTTCCTCAACCGGGTCAAACCCCCCACGTCGGAGGCCACGGCGGGAAGCCACAGTTGAACCGTGTCTTCCAGCACCTGAAGGGAGCTGAATTATGATGTGGCCATCGTGATATTTTCACATGGCTGCGTCCATGGCGTCCATGCCGAGTGCTTCACGCGTTGGGATCGCTGGGTGCACCAGGCTCAGAGAACGCCAATAATAGAGTGTTTCATCCAGCCGGTGCTACATGATAGAACTGTGATAGAAATAAAAGCGGGTCGAACTAGGTTGAATTTGACGTGGGTGCCGCACGAGTCCTGAGGCAAGAGCGCATGAGTGCACAGCAGACGGGCATGTGAAGCAGCCTTTTCGCCTAGAAGCGGTGTATACAGATTGAGGCGCCTGCTCCGAATGAGCCCTCGGCATGTCCTGCTACGCGGCGGCAAGAGCCGCGCTGAGAAAGTTCCCAGCTAACCATTACTACGCACATGCAGCGCGGTTTACGAACCGCATCCCGCACATCTCGTCGCGAATAGTTCTCCGCCAAAAGTCCGCCGGACGCCGCCCGGCGCCGGCCAAGAGGCGACAACGTTCCCAGCCGCGTAGACGACGTCGTGTGGAAAGTCATCCGCATAGAGAGCGCGTGCGGTGCGCTGGCCATCTCCGCGCATGCGTGCGCTGCACGGTGCCCTGACCCTTGATGACTGCCTTGTCCGCCAACAACGGTATTGCCAGGATGGTTTTACCAGTCGCGTCGTGTCCGATCCTAATTCCGACACAGATTTTCACACCACAACACAGTGGTTGTCTCTCCGCACCTCGCGGGTCAGAGGACCCTGAAGCGGCAGCCGCTGCGGCCCTACAGTACCGTGGTCGCAAACTGCACGTCTAGCCAAATGGGCGCCGTGCGTTACTGTTTATCGCCTTATCTTCGTATTTGGGCTTTGGTGTCTCCTTGTTCAGCTGACAATGTTCTGTAGGTCCAAGGCTAAGCGATTCTCAGGAATGGAAGGACCGGCTTCAAGTTCCGCGTGGAGGTAAATCGGGAATATGCAAGACAAGGCGCAGACACGTAGGCGAGTGCCGGCGCAGGGCCTTCTGGATGTTATTGAAGCTTGATGCAAATCCGCGTCCTAGTAGTGGATAGGATATCGATCATTAATGACTGAGACTCGTAAGATTTGTGGGTGTACAAATTAGATCCCAACAGTCGTGGGACGCTTCGCGCAACGAGCACAGACTTTTCCTCAGCCGTAGACCAGGAAGAGGCACAAAGAAGGGAGATAGGCGAAACAGGCGAACAATTTGGCGACGACAGCAGGCCGTAACCATTCTGGTCACCCTTACGGGATTGGGAAGAGCTGCGCCGCCGCTATCGGATTCGACACGACGCGTTGGTGCTAGTGCGGCCACGGGGGAGATGGTTTCATGGTGCAAGCCCGGCGTGGGGTACGACGACGCCCAGATGGTCGCTCGCTCTTGCGACGTGAAGTACTGGTGGTGCCACTACCGCCCGCGTACTGGAGATGCAGCAGCTGCATGTGGTATCGCTGATGCGGTTTCAGCTGCACATACGAATGCGCGTGCTGCACCCGACCCTCATGTCGCCCTTGCTCAGCGCGCGTCACCGATCATATCGACTGCGTCTGAGCCAGGCGCAACTGAGAAAGGAGCGACTCCCGCCCGCCGTCAGCGTCCGGGAGAGTAGCGAACTGCATCGGCTTCGCCAGCTGCGCCTTCCCGAAGCTTCTGAGGAGATTATGCGCCAATGTCGGGGACCTGGCTGCCCAGCGTGATCGGTCAGGGAGGCTGCAGCTGCGCTGGCGCGCGCGGAACGGCGAGAGCGGGATGAGTGCGAGCGCAAGCGGGAGGCGCGATAGAGGGCCCATAAACGTCTTCAGCCTCGTACGCATTGCGGCGGTAATATGGGTTCTCCCTGTCAGCGTCCGGGTCAGCATCCGCGAGGTATGAAAGAGGGCGCCTGAACCTACCTCAAGTCCCGCACGATTTCATCATCATCGCAGTCCTCCTAATCCCCGCCTCGATGCCCTCCTACACTTGATTCAGGAATGCTAACGCGTCGTGGAAGTTCCGTCATCCGTATGCGACGTCTTTTCGTCGTCGCGTCGTTCTCGACGTCCGGCGAGCTGCAGATAGACGCAAGCATGTCGGCGCCAGCGAGGGGAGGGAGGTAGCGGGACGGAGGGGGGCGTTCGAGCAATGATTGAGGTCCATATTTGCAAAGATGTCGCGGACGCGAAACGACAAGGTCCCGAATCCATTCAAAGCAGCATTCAACAAGAATGAGGCAGTGGATGTGTAAAAGGGCGGGGCTGGAGCGGACGAAGAGAAGGGCCGTAGAGAGGAGCATGGCCCGTTTCGAAAGACAAGATGTGAAGCGCGTCCTCGTATCGGAGCATAACTTGCGGGGACAGAAACAAACGCGTCGATCCACACCCTGTGAGGTCAAGGCATAGTACTTAGGTCAGTCCAGGTTTGTACGCGAAATACGAAGTTTTTGAACCTCCCGCAAAATGCATCCCTATTCTTTCGAAACACGATATCGAAATGGAACTATCGACCCCGACGGTACCGCTGCTGCGGAACGTGAAACTTTTGAAGCCTGTGGCATACATCAATGACAATCGTGATGCTTGCGCTCACTTGCGTTCTCACCCTACTTAAACCAGATCTAGCCACGGAATGTCCGTCTATCCCAAGAGGCTTCGTCGCCATTGACGGACCCGGAAATTTGGTATTCCAACTGCTACACCACGTCATGGTCCTTTTGGTACACGATTCGTGGAACACGCGTCGAGTCCGCATGCCCAAGATCAAGGACGCGCTGTCACGGTGACAACCAAGTCATGAGGAGATGGGCATTGATTTGTGGCGCGAGCCCGTACCAGGTCCCGCAAAATCTGGCACCGCGGTATCCTAGTGGTGTTGACTGATTTGCTGCGTAAGCACCTGACACCAACCATCGTCTTCCTTTCTTCTTCTGGTTTTGAGCTTCTGTCTCTGACGGTTTTTCAACATGACCACCATCTATCCCGAATTAGCCCTCCAAGCTCGAAATAACTTAATTTAGCATTGGCTGGTACATCCGGCGTGGCTGGTATCAAGCGCACCTGAGTGCACGCCATTGCGCATAGTGTTTAGTGCTTCGTGCTTCATTTCACTCGTGGCCGCGAGAATGATATACTTCATCGTTCACTGACTAGCAGGTCAATCAATCAACACAGTGCTCGCCGTTAAACGGAATCTATCGAACATCGACCTCCCACACCCAATTTTAGCCAGGCTCGGACCCGAACCGTCCACTCTCACTGCCCACCAGGACAGTAACTCGTGCTCTCTCCTGACTGGCCATCTTGCTCGATTGGAGTCTGTGAAAAACATACTGTCCAGAACCCTGGTCCCCGTCGGAGCTCATGAGCGTAAACATTTGTCCGAGACTCAAGTTTAGTACCCTGGAAACTGACCTCTTCCGGCGTCCCGCAAAACTTAAAGCCGCACAACGGAGGGACATTGTTCCGAATCTACTCAAGGGCCCAAGATCGTAGTAGCACTCACGGGGTGTTACGGCCATACATTCCACCATCCCGTCTCGTATTAATTGGACATGGTTGAACCACAGCACTTATGAATATCTCGCGTGCACGTCACCGTCGCTCTTTGCAGGCTGGCCGACACACCGTGTGAGAACTCTGTTGAACCAGCTCTCGTGGCAAAACTTTGGGATGGAAATACTGCACATTCGAGCCCACGCGTGCCTGTCGACTCGCAGTTGCAGCAACCATGCAAATACGCAGCCATAGGTTATCGGCGCGCTTCCCATCTGCTTGATTTAGGTATCTTCGTTTGACCTCGAACTCGCACCCAACCGCAATCGGGTCTCGTTTAGAGCACACCTTTCTATCAGTGCCTATCCTGAGCGAAGCCTTAGCCATTGGGGATTGCTGAGTACAGAATTGTATGGAAATTGGGATTGGCTTCCTTCTAGCGAGGCGCAAGGCACAGGAACCATTATCAATTCCGCAGCGGGATCGGCTGTCAATGCCTACAACCCCGCAACACGTCAAGGAACGTGCTTAGTATATTTCTTCACCGGGATCTACGGACCCGCTACCCCGTCGCGTGTCGCGTCAACCGTGTTTCAGTGCCACAAGTTCCGACTTGTCAATGGTATAATGCAGTCCAATGCACTTTGCAGTCTGGACCAGGTTAGTCAATTCCTTTTCACTACTCGTGATAAATCGATAGGGAGGAAAGTACCTTCAACCTTCATGCCTTGCCGCAGCCTAAGGACTTGAACAGGGCCACGCGGC